GACACAGAAAGTGAACAGCACAGAGTGTAAAGTTGCTCCCCAGAGAAGCAGACACCGAATCAAGGCATCCAGGGAAAGTTATTTATTTGGCAGTAGATTCCAGGAAGCATTGGTAGGGTAGTGGGCAAGTGAGATAGGCAGGGGGGGAAATGAAGGCAGGGTGTGCTGATGAATGGGTTGCTGTGTGGGGAACTGGGCCTCCATCTTACTGGGGACCTCTGGAGACAGTGCAAAACCTGCCCCAGAATTAGCCTGCTCCCAGAGCTTAGGAGGCAAGGTATTTATCCTCAGTTTCTACTTACCATTGGTTGAGAGCTGCTCCCTGGGGGACTCTCCAGTGTGTCCACTCTGCCACATGCTTGGGCTGAGAGTGGCAGTTGCTTGTGCATGTGCCTGGTGGATGAGGGCAGAGGGGCTATGTGCAGGACAGGAAGGTGATACTTCAGCCCACCTTGCAGGATAAAGAAACTGCCATCTTGCTAAAGATACTGCTTTTTGGGTCTTTGAGGCCCAAGATAAACCTAATCCTAATGGGGACATATTCTAATACCTATGCCAGCAGAGAGGTAAAGGGCATTTTTCTTTCCCTCCTGTTCCTGTTGGGAATTAAAAAAAAAAAAAAAATCTTATGGAAAGAACAGTGATTGGCTGAAATTGAATCACATGTTTGCTTTTGTGATCAAGGAAGCAGGGTATTATGATTGACAGTCTTCATCATCACTCACAGTGAGGAAAGGAGCAATTAGAAGCCCACCCAAATAGTGGGGTGCAGTGTTCCTAGCAGGGAGGGGTGCTGGGCAGTTGAGACCATAGAGCTCCATCCACCACAGTAAGAGCTCTTTTGCCTATTTTTTTTTCTTTCTTTTTTTGTGGGTAACAAAACCCAAAGAGGAACTGCAGTTTAATGCAACAATTTACATGCCCAAAGAGAACAAGCCCCACCACAGAGCTATTGACTGGCTCGAAAACAGAAACGGAAAAATCCATCTGAATTTTATGTGTTCAGTTTACAGAGCAACATATGTGCTAGAAGAGAAAGTAATCTAAAGCCCCCAGAGTTAAAAAGCCATTCATTAGTACTCTTTAGCTTGCCTGCCATTCTGTGCAGAGTGAAGGGACCTCAGGAAAGCAAATTAAACTTCTCTGAGTCTCAGTTTCTCATATATATAGGCATCATGGGCTTGTGAGCATCGCAGGGGCTGAGGCACAGGAGCACATGCCATGGCATGTTTTTAGCAAATTGTTTTGATGGTGACGACAGCAATGATTCTCTATGACTTCCCTGGGGGACCAACCCTGCCTAGTTCAATTGTCCTTTTGTGACCAGTTGGAATTTCCCCAAACTTCTTCAGAAGTTTGTTTCCTACTCTGTCATGAGGATCACCTCCCTCTTCCTCATCCCTGTCATGATTTAGATCTAGAATGTCCCCCAAAGGCTCAGGTGTGGAAGACCAGGTCTCCACCGCACCAATGTCCGGAGGTGGGGCTTTGGGGAAGTGATTGGATTATGAGGGCTCTGACCTCATCATGGATGAGCCCACTGAGGGATTCAGAGCTGAATGGGCTATTGGGAGAAGACTAGAGGTGGGGCCTAGCTGAAGGGCAGGAGTCCTAGGGGGCATGCCCTCTGACTGTGTCCTGTCTGTGGCCCTTTCCTATCTCTCTCTGCTTCCTTACTACTATGAGGTGAGCAACTTCCCTTCACCATGCCTTTCCACAATGATGTTCTGCCACATCTCAGGCCTAAAGCAATGCAGTTGACCAACTATGAATTGAAACCTCTGAAACAGTGAGCCAAAATCAGTCTTTCCTCCGATAAGGTGTTTTTCACAGGTATTTTGTGACAGCAAAGAAAAGCTAACGAACACACTTTCTCATCTAACAGAGAGATTGTGTTCCAACCAGACCTGGGATGACAAGTGCTCTAGCTAGGTGGGACAGAGCAAGCAGAGGCAAAGAAGTTTTTACCAGGGGCAGGTGTAGGGCCAGGTGTGAGGCCCGGAGGAATTGGGGCAGGAGGAAGAGGAGCCACTGTGATTCTATGCCCACCAGCAAGCCCGACAGTGACTTTGGCCCATGGAGCAGAGGAGGGTTTCTTGCTGGAAGCAAGCCCACCGTGCAGGGGATCTGTTTCCATCTGCTCATTTTACTGCTGAGTTGTAAAGTGCTAAATGTCATTATCCTCCCCTTCCTTAAACAAGAAAAAAGTTAACAGCCTGAGAAAAGGAGATATTTCACTTCATTTGGCATCTATCCACCATCATCAACACGGGATGCTCCCTTGGGGTCTGATTGGAGACAGGGAGAAGCCCTGCTCTGTTCTGCTTTCAGCAGCAAGCACCCGGCTGGAGCTGGAAGCTGGAGGCCAGGCCACAGCTCAACTACAGAGTAGCCAGCCACCCTCTGAACAACTCCAACACCATACCAGGTGCCATGACAGAAAGCGAGAATAGGGGCCAAGGACCAAGTGTTCAGACCAAGTGCTTATTAGGGTCTGCATGGCCTCAGAAGATAAACTTGAATTGAGGAAAGAAATTGCAGAGAAGATGACTTCAACTCAATAGAGGGATGAACTCAGAAGATGTAGATCTGCTGGAAAATGAATTGATTCCTCTATGAAGTCCAGAGCTGCTGCTCTTCCAAAGGCGTGCAATTGTGTAGACCCTCTTCTAGAACACTCACTTTGGGGAGGAGTCTCTTAGTAGATGGGAGACTGAGACAGGTGATGTCTAAGGTTCTTTCCAATTCTGAGGCCCTGGGAACCTGTAACTGGGGGATCTCGGCTATGTTCACCATCTGTAACAAGCCTCGCTCATGCCGGCTGAACCCTAGTGCTAGGCTGCCTAATGATGGCTGCTGGACCCTGAGGAAGGCTCCATTCTCATTGCTCTGATTATGGGGCCACTAAGGCTTTCACTCTGCAGTGCTCCCTGAGAAGCCACTTCAGTTGCATGACAGCTATCCTCCCAGCCCCATAGTGGGCAGAGGTGTCCCTTGGGCTTAAAGCTGTAAGCCGCCTCCCCAAGCAGCTGAGACCACAATTTGAGAGGACTGTCAGGCCTGGCCTGAGTAGTGGCTTGTTGAAAAGGGATAGTCAAGAACCAGGTCCTGGGCCCCAGGGACAGCCACATTCTCCTCCCCAACCCTGCTGGACTTTGGAAAGGCTACTCACCCTAGCTGAGGATGGCTGGAATGGAGGAGGGACAGTGCTTTGCCATCTAAAACCATCGATAGCTTCCCATAGGTCTTCCAAAGTTCCTTCAATGACCCTAAGACCGCAATAACTGTTCCTCATAGTCTAAGCTGTGAACTCCCTGAAGTCAAGGACAAGCTCTGTTTTGTTCCCTACTGTAGCCCCAGAGTTTGGCATTGGCCAGCACTTGGTAAATATTTGTTGAGTAAATGAATGGAAGGCCTGTCATCCTCCTGGGTCTGACAGAAGCCAACTTGGCAAGGAGGACAGAGAGCAGTGGACCACGAGTCTGGGGGCAGTTTTGAGCTTGACCTTAGGAAAGTCTCTGCCCACTGGGCCTCAGTTTCCCAATCACAGAACTAGGAGATTGGTGTGAGGCTGGATAGGAGGTAGGAAGAAAAGTCATTTTCTGTCTGATCTTCAGATCTTAAGGGACCTTAGGCTGCAGAACTGCCCCCAACCCAAGTCCTGTGGACCTGGCAATAGAGACACCTGTTTGGAATTGAGGTGCCAGCTCATTGCTGTGGGTTTACTCAGTTCAACAACAAAAACTAAGACTTTCTTATATGTAAAGCTCAGTGCAGGACTTCCTGGACAAGGTGCCTTGGAGCTGAACACTTGGGATAGAAATGACCAAAAAAAAAAAAAAAAAAGCCAGTGGAGGAACAAGATGTGGAAAGTCCCAAAGGCAAGGCAGTTTAGGAACGGAGTTGAGGGTAGAGTAACAGGTAGGGCTCATGCTCACAGGACACTGGGAAAGCCAACTCTGGAGGGAAGATGACACATGTCCTGCAGGGCTGTGTTCAGGCGGAGGCTCAGAACAGGGTGGTTCACTTCAAGTCCTGGCTCTTCACACACTTACCTGTGGCCTTGTTTGTGTCACAGTGTCCTCATCTGTAAAAAGCCTACCCTTCAGGGTGGGTGAGAGAATTCAGTGAGGTTACACACATGAAGTGCCTAGCACATAGTAGGCAGTCTGGGGAATGGGATTTCTTACCTCTTTTTGGCTTTCGGTTAATATGCAGATAGCCCTGAGGAAACTAGAATGGGTGTTTGTTAACCATTTAAATGATCAGTGTGATGAGGTTCTCAGAAAGAAATTTTATTCAAAAGGTTACGATAGTTGAGCGCTGTGGCACCCACCTGTAACCCCAGCGGCTCAGGAGGCTGAGGCAGGAGGATCGCGAGTTCAAAACCAGCCTCAGCAATGGCAAGGCACTAAGCAACTCAGTGAGACCCTGTCTCTAAATAAAATACAAAATAGGGCTGGGGATGTGACTCAGTGGTCAAGTGCCCCTGAGTTCAATCTCTGGTTCAAAAAAGAAAAAAAAAAAGGTTATGACAGGAGGCAGGGGCAATGGAGGGAGAAACGCATGAACTTGGGGACAAGAAATGCAAGGAAGGAAACACTGGAGGTGGGGGCACCAACTTCAGCAACTTTTTAAATCTTGCCAGTAGGGAAGTGGAAGGAAATGCATCTCCATCTTAAGGAAGGTCACAGTCATGGTCTTGGTGGAGAAAGGATGGGAGTAGGCAGGGTGAAGGGAGAAAAGGGCCACAAGTACTGCCCACTGATGAGTCACCTCCTGGCCTCTGATGCAATGAAGATGAGAGGAGAAGGAGGTGGGGAGAGAATACCACAGTCCCAAATGGTGAGCCATGGTGAGCCTGAGGTGGAATTCAGCGGCCTCAAAGTGGCCTCCTTGTCTGATTTCTAGGTATCTGGAAAGCATCAGTGGCGTTAAAAACATTGACTATCAGAGTGCACCATGGGACAAGTGACACACAAACCTTTAGTACATAATAATGTTTTACCATTGATCAGTTTACTATTATTTTTCCAAACCTTAAAAATGTTGAAAGTAAGCTTGAGATTCAGGGCAAGGAGCACAGGAAGTGGGACTTTGGGCAAATGCTTCCCTTCTGTGACTCTCAGTTTTCCATCTGCATAGTGAAGGGGTCAGACGGTGTTGCACTTCAGAGTGGTGCCACTCTACCACTCTCATCCTCTAGTTCCATGGTTTCAAAAACCAATATAGAGCTGCAGTGCAAGGCTGCCACCCTGTCCCTGGTGGAGCCTGAGGACCATGGCCATGAACAATGCAGGGAGGATAGCTCTTCAAAGAAAGGAAAAGATGCAAAAAAAAAAAAAAAAATCATAAATCTTGCCTTTCTGGTCTCTGGCAAAAACTTAATCTGGGATTTGGGGTTAAAGTAGCTTCTGTGTGTGAGACCACAGAATCTAGCTCAACCCTTGTACAATTTGGTGGCTATCAGGTCTACTAAGGCTTTGACAAAATTCCACATCTAAGATTCTGTGATGATGATTACAGAACATAAAGGTCCAAGTTCTCCCTCATTCTCTCATAGAAGATTCAAGATTGAGAGTAGGTGGCATTTCCTAATGGGTGGGGCCCCTAGATTTTCTCCAGAACAGAGAAGTCAAGTAAAGGTTCTATTGACAAATTCTATTCCAAGGAATTCCAGAGGACTTTGGGACCAAGCAGACCAAGAATGACACCTGCTGGAAAACTGGTAGGAGGTGGTGAAAGGACTGAGCACTCAGGTTTAAGTTAAGGCCCTGACTTAGTCCACTCACTGTGTCACCTTGCCTTTGAGTCCACTCTGAAATTTTTCCGGCTGCAGGACCCGAGACTGCAGTCAACAGTCAACGTTAGTCTTTTGTTTTTTGAGACAGGGTCTTGCCCAATTTGCCCAGCGTGGGCTTGAAATCGCAGTCCTCCTGCCTCAGCAGTTGGGATCACAGGTGTGCACTCCCACACAGGGCAATCCCTTATCTTCTTATAGAGAATGGCTCATGAGAGTCCCCAAACTGGCAGTCAGGCCTTAGTGGGCAGCTCGAACTGCCTTAGTCTCAATGTCCACCTCTCAGTTTCGGAAAAGGAATCTGATTGGCTACCTCAAGCAGCCTGCGGGTGGCAGGGGCGCCCAACTTCAGCGCCTTGAACCGGCTCAGAACCTCTGCGGGGCGGGGCCTGGACTCCTGCGACTCAGAAGGAGAGCGCACGGCGCCTGCGCGCCTCTCCACCACTCTCACCTTCTACTTCCATGGTTTCGAAAAGCATCCGCACTAGCGCTGGCCGTCCCTGGGCCACTAAGGCCCCAGCCACCCCCAGCATCTCGTCCGTGTGGCCGCGCCACACGCGTTGCAGTTCCTGGCGCAGACAGGCCTCCGGGTACTTGCCCCGGGCGTGGCGCAGCCAGGCATCCACCTCGAGTCCCAGCTCGCCGTCGCTCAGCTGCGCCTGGCTCCACTGCACCAGCAGCGCCTCAAGCAGGCATCCGAAGCCCTCGGTGTGGCTGGAGCCCATGTCGTCCAGCTCCACGGCGCGCTTGAAGCAGGCCGCCGCGTTGGCCTCCTCGCCCTTGATGCGCAGGCACTTGCCTCGTAGCAGCTGCAGCTCGGGCAGCGTGGCGCCCAGCTCGAATTCGCCGGCCTTGGCCAGGAAGACCAGCGCCTGGTTGAGCGCCGCCTCGTCCACCGCCAGCAGCTCCCGCATGGCGTCCACGCCCATGTAGTAGTAGACCTGGGGTGGGGGGGCCTCTGAGCCTTCCTTCCAGTAACACCGCCCTCAGGGTCATACCACCCTCAAGCTGGTTCAAAAAAACTTCATTCGGTCCACCCTCCCTACCTCCCTACTGCAGCAATTCTTAAACTCTTGTAGCTGCCCCCGCCTCTGGAAAAGGAGAGGCAGTACCAGGATTCCAGTTCCAGCCCTCCCACTCTTGGCCAAATATAACCTTGAGCAAGTCAATCTCTAGACCCAGGTTTTCTCATATGTAAAATTATGATATTATCACCTCTTGGTAACTATCCCCTGAGCATAGTAGTCACTTTTGGGTAAAGAATACTTATTGAGTGCTTAGAGAGCCAGGCCCTCTTCTAAACACGGTACACACATTATCTCATTTCATCTTCCCCATGGCCGGAGGAGGTGGGTAGGGGGGTGCCCCTTATTCCTATCCATGTCCTCATACTCAGGCCTAGCCTGGCAGGGAGTCAGTAGGTTATAAATGATCTTTTCGGTAATCAAGCCAAGAGGCTGCCTTACCTGGCCAATGTCCAGGTATGTCCTGAGGCCTGGGCACACCTTGACTACTTCCTCAAGGTCAGCTTTGGCGCAGGCCAGGTGTTTCCTGTCCGGCATGCCCCCAAGCCCCATCTTGGCCCGTGTCAGGTCGTGCAGGTAGGCTCTGATGTGGATCTGCAGGCAGAGGATTAGCTCAGGGAAGGTGCTCAAGTAAGGACCTCCCTTCTTTCTGTCCTACAAAAAGACCGTCCCTTTATCAATAGCAAACAGGGATGTTCTGTGGTGTAGCAGGAAGCTCCTAAGGCTGGGACCCAGGAATCCTAGGTTCTGGTCCTGTGGCAACTTGGGCTAGCTGCTCCTCTTTCTGGGCCTGTTTCTCTGTCTGTACAATGAGGGGACTGAGTGAAGTGGCCCTCATTCATTCACTCATTCATTCATGTATCGAGTGCCCCCCCCATATTAACCATGTAACCTGGAGGATGTCACACAACCTCTGTGAGCCCCATTTTCTATCTCTGAAAAGTTAGTACACTGATACCTCCCTTGGGAGTTACCCTGATGACTGAGAGATCATATTTTAGTTCGGCCCTAGCACATGCCCAGTTCCCTTGTTCATGTCTTCAACAGATATTCATCAGGAGCCAGGCACTGTTCCAGGCCCAAGGATACAGTGCAGAGCAAAATGTCAAAAGTCCTGCCTTCATGGAACTCATGTGTTACTGGGGGAGGAAGACAATAAACATAATAAATAGGTAAATAGCATGTTAGGGAGTGGGGCTGGGATTGTGGCTCAGCGGTAGAGCACTCCCCTAGCATGGGTGGGACCCGGGTTCGAACCTCAGCACCACATAAAAACGAAAGCATTGTGTTGTGTCCATCTACACCTAAAAAATAAATATCAAAAAAAAAGCAAACCTGAAAAGGATAGAAAGTATTGGCAGGGGGTTGACCTTTTCAATAAGGTCACTAGAAACTGCTTTTTATCAGGCCTGCAAGAAGTGAGGGAGGAAGTCAATCACATATCTGGGAGAAGAGCATTCTAGATGGAGGCTCAGGCCAGTGGGCTGGAAAAGAATGAGAGACATGAGTAGAGGGAGGGGTGAGGCCATCATGACTAGGTTTGAGTTTATGGGCCACAGTGTGGTCCAAGGGTTCTACATAGATCATGTGAGTCCCTCCCTCCTGCTCCTTCCTCCTCTGGACATCTAAATAATAAGTGACCTTTGGAGCTACAGGGAAGCAGTAAGCTTAAGACACAAGGTGAGAGAGTGAGGAAAGTAAGGCTGGGGTTCTGGCTATTTTTTTAATATATATTTTAGTTGTTGATGGACCTTTATTTTATTCACTTATTTATATGTGGTGCTGAAAATCGAACCCAGTGCCTCACATATGTGAGACAAGAGCTGTACCACTGAGTCACAGCCATAGCCCAAGGGTTCTGGCTATTTGAGTGCAGATTGCTGGGAATGTTCACTGCGCCTTGGTGGCCTCATTTGTAGACTGACATAGGTCCTGTCTTTCTCAGATTCTTATAAGGATTAAATCAGACCACAATCATGAAAGTGCTTGGTGAAATGCAGAAATGCAGAGTTTTATAAAAATGTTTTATAGTGTATTATGATTAATATTCTTATTATTCATAATATTAACCATATCAACTACAGTGAAAGAATGTGCTGACCCTAGTCCCTGATGGCACTAGGAGCAGGAAATTAAGCCGTTGAGACCAAGACCAGGAGCAGATTTGCCATTAGGTCATGTGAAAGGTAGTGGAAAAAATAGGGGAAAGGGGGTTGCTTATTAGCTTGGCACATAGTAAACTTGGAGCTCCTGGGATGTCCCCAGGCAAATGGCCTCCGTTAGGCTCCAGAGGGCAGATGTGGGCCCAGTGGGAAAAGATGGGAGGGGGCAGCTCTCACCGGAACAAAGGGACATGGGAGGGAGTGGAAAATTTTGGCCAGGTGATTCAGGATAGGAGGTTGGTCCTTGACAATCTCAATGGCCTAGGTAAGAGAGGAGGGTAGAGACAAACCATGTATTGCCCTAAAAAACTACGCAGGGGACTGTCACAAGAGACAGCTGATCAGCTAAAAATATACCTAATAATAGCCATCAGTCACCTCTGAGCTCTTACCACATGCTTGGTGCTAAGTTTTACATAGAATCTAATTCACTTCTCAGAACCACTCTGTGAGGTCAGATAAAGAAACCAAGGTTTAGGAATTGGGCCCCGCAGTATTTTGTCAGAGGTCCCACGGCATGTCAGTGGTGATGTAGGATTTGAATCAAGACTTTCTGTGTCCAGGACCAAAGCTCTGAGCCACCAGATGAATCTACCTTTACTTAAAGTGGAATCTCCCACTTTCCAAAAGAACCTGCCATGCCCAGGTGCTGTGCTTCAGCCTCTGATAGCTTTTTAAGATGGGTGTTATTAGCTTATCTTACAGATTTGGGAACTGAGATTTGAAGGGGTAGGTGGCTTGCCATAGCTTCCACAATCATAGGTGGAGAGATCAGATTTCAATGGTCTGATTCCACTGGAGTCTGGAGGTTCCTGACCAGGTGCTGCAGAAGGGATCCCTGCTGTAGGAAGAGGCTCATCTATTCTCGACCTCAGCAACCTTACTGACCACAACTGTGTGCCCTGATGACCCCTAAGAGGCCCTCCACCATGAAGGCTCCAGGTCCTTTGGGCTTTTGCAATAGGGTCATGGCCCCTGGTCCTTGGTCCCTGATTCCCAATGGGAGGGGCTGTGGGTGACCCACCTTGGCCCTTGTGCAGTATGCTTGCCAGTTGAGCTCTGGATCTCGTAGGACATCCAGGGCCATGTTACAGGTTCCAATGGCCATATCCTGCTTTCCTAGGAAGTGGAAGATTTTGGCCAGGTGATTCAGGATAGGAGGTTGGTCCTTGGCAATCTCAATGGCCTAGGTAAGAGAGGAGGGTAGAGACAAACCATGTATTGTTTGCTTGTCTGCCAGCCTGGATAAATGGTGCCTAAACCATAGGGACCCCACCTCTGCACAGAGTCCTGTCACACATGTGCTAACTCCTCATATCTACCCACACCTACCTGCTGTATGTCAGTCATATCATGGAACCCAACACCAGCTCGTTGCCCTGTTCCCTGGTCATGGCCAGCAAACCCTTCCAGACCCCAGGTAAACCCTCCTTCCCATGTGTGCTCTGCCATATTCCCAGGGTAAGTGAGAGAAGGGGCCAGAGTCAGCCCCTTCTCATATTTACAACATTTCCAGCTGGGCCTCAGCACTTCCCCCTATGTTGGCATTGACTGCTGCTTGACCTAAGTGGCTTGACGTAGGACCACACAGCCTGTGAGCAGAACTGGTAAGAAAACCCCAGCTAGAGATCTTCTTTCCACTGTGCCACTGTGGTTGGGGAGGGAGGGAACCCTGCAGAGGAACAATGTGGACACTGGCCTCAGGGGAGAAGTCTGAGGGTCTATATCAAGGCTGGAGAAATGAGCTTGGGCCAGCTTGAATGTGGGGAAGGATTTAGTCTTAGGCAGAGGAAAAGAGCCACAAAGGAGCCCTTTTTGTTTAGAACAAGGGGAAGGGTGGAGAGGGGTATGGAGTAAGTGCCTTCTTGTAGGACACATGGTGGGGGAATGACATCCAGAGAAGCCATGGGTCCTGGAGGAGAGCCCCCCACCCCAGTTTGCAGAGGGGATGCGGTTTGGGGACATACCTTGCCGAAGCAGTCCAGGGGGTCAGTCCCGGAGTACCCACAGTCATGGACGCCCATAGGGGTGGTGGAGAAGGTGTCCTTCCTCTCCAGCAGCATCCCAAGATAGCACCAGGCCAGCGCTAAGGTGGAGGGTGGGAGAGGGACTTTAGGAAGCAGCGGTGGGGGAGGAGGGGAAGGGGAGCCAGGGGTGGGGCAGGGACAGCTCCACTCAAGGCACCCATGATGACAAAGGAAGGAACAGTGGCAGAGAGAAAGAAAGGCGGAACAAAGGGACATGGGAGGGAGTGAATGAACAGGTTTTGGTGTCCATTCTGAGTCTAATGTGTCATCTAGGGAACCTCATTTCAGGGTCGTAGCTCTCTTCTGACTTCTCCGGGTGGGTGCAGCGCCTGTTCTGGTTTCTGGCCGTAGAGAAAATGGCTCCCTTACACACACACACACACACACACACTCTCACACACCGGGTCAAGCAGACTTTCATCTCCCACCATAGAGTGAGGGTGGTGGGCTGGAGCAGGACAAGATCTCCCTCCAGGTCCTGAGACCAACTTGGAACTTTGGGAGCGTGTCACTGTAGTGATTTGTAATTGGGTGTTCCCTTGGGCCAGGTGGGAGGGCTCCTGAGGTAAAGAAATGAGCATGTGACACAAACAGGGAGGGAGAAAGAAAAGGGACACAGTGCCAGACGTGGGGACAGTGCCAGAGACCAGCAGTGCCAGTGATGGGTGCAAGGACAGCGGGGCAGAGGATGTCACCCCGCCCACCCCCTGGGGTCCCTACCTCGGTGTCGGGGGTCCGAGGACTTGAGGACCTGCCGCAGCAGGGCCAGCGTGCGGTTGAAGGCAGGCAGCCTCTTCTGCTCCTCGCTGCCCTGCTCCAGGAAGATGCCATCCAGCCTGTGGCCGAGAAGGGGCTGTGGCTGTTTGGCGCCCCATCCCAGCCACCCCCAGGTGAGCAGCCCTCCAGAAGCCCTTGCCTGGAATGGGCTCCACCACCTCTGCCCCCACCCGCTGCCTGGTTCCAGGCCCAGGAAGACCGAGACACACCTCCCCCCATCCTGCATCCCCTTCCATCCCTGGCCTGACCTGATGAGGAAGGTTGCCATGGTGAAGTACCAGCCCCTTTTCTCCTCCATCGGGATCTGGGAAAGCAGAGAATGCCCATGCTGCTGTTATGGAGGTGCTCAGGCCATTGTCCACCTTGAACCCCAAGAGGCAGCAGACACAGTCGAAGGGCCTTAGCCTAACACGCCCTTGATGATAATCTTGGCTCTGCCAGTGTCTGGCTGGGTGTCCTTGGACAAGTTGCTTCACCTCCCTGACCACATAGGATTTGACAAGATAAGCTGTGTGACCCCTACTGAGGTGCCTGTCAGAGTAGGTGTGTAATCCCTTTCCTCCCTGGCCCTGGAGTCCCCACCCAGCTCTGGCTGCCCACTGGGGGCTCACACCCCACGGGTTGCCTTCTCTCTCCTCTGCTCTCGTTACTTCTCCCCTGTGGTGCTTTCCCTCAGCCCCCACTTTCCTGAGAAAGCCCCTCAGGCATGTTAAGTGAGTCCGGCTCAGCCCAAGCCCAGGATGCCCCTGGACTGTTTCCCATTATTATTCTTGCCAACCTTGCTGTGCATTTAGACCAACTTGGGCACCAGATAAAATATTTATGCCGTTATTTATGGGAGTAGCTGCTCCTGCCTCAAGAAGGAATTTTAATGAAAACCAATAAAACCCCCAGTGCATATCGGCAGCTCTGCCTCAGGCTCCAGCCCCTCCTTCCACGTTCATCGCCCACAGTTGATCTTCTGCACTCCCTGCCCCCACTGTGGCCTCCTCAGCTCAAGACCCCCATCATCCATCCACTCCGCCCCAGCAACATTCCAAACACCTCCAGCACGGAGTGCTGGGCGGGTGCTCTGTGGATGTGACAGTGAACAGCAGCTGCACCCTGACTTGAACAGGCTCCCAAGCTGGCTCGGGAAACAGATGCAGGTATCAATAACAGGATTCGTCTCAGTGCCTGCCATGGGCCAGGATCTTGATACCATCACCTCAATCCCACAATCCAGGAGGGAGGTGTTAGCCCCATTTTATGGGTGAACATATTGAGGCCTGGAGAGGTAAAGTGACTTGCCCCAGGTCACAGAATTTGAGAGCATCAGAGCTGGGCATCCAATGCCTTTTGGCTCCAAAGCCCATGCTCCCTTTGCCACATGAATTGCCAAAAACTGTAGTAGGAAGTAAAGTTGGATCAAGGTTATGAGAGCAATATGGACCAGGATGCAGCAGGATGGACAAAGACTCCCAGTTAGAGGCTGTGGATTTTTTTTTTTTTTTAAGAGAGAGAGAGAGAGAGAGAGAGAATTTTTAAAGAACATTTATTTTTTAGTTTTCGGCGGACACAACATCTTTGTGTGTATGTGGTGCTGAGGATCGAACCCGGACCGCACGCATGCCAGGCAAGCGCGCTACCGCTTGAGCCACATCCCCAGCCCGAGGCTGTGGATTTAAAGTGGGCAGTAGCATTTCAGAGGGATCCTCATGTGGAATGGAGACCAGGGCACCCCAAAACGGAGGGCCTGGCATGAACAGAGACACGGGGATGTGTGGAAATAGACACCCTGGAGCTGTATGTGTGATTGGGTGGGGGGAGTCAACACTGGCAAGGAAACCTTGGATGAACTAGGTGCGGGGAGGGATGCAGAGAGGAGACCTCATGCGTGAGACTCACTTGAGTGGTGCCTGCCCATCGGGTTGAGAGCCCTGGCCCCAGCTAGAGCACGCAGAGGAGGACCCACCGACAGCATGTCTTAGCCTAGTCTTCCCTCCTCTCTGTTCTGTTTGTCCCTAGGCTGGGCAATGAGGACAGGAGAGGAAAGATGAGGCCCATCTCGAGAGGCCCTTGGTCTATCAGTCCGAAAGATACAGTTAGAATAGAAGGGACATAGGTGCCCTGGGAGCCCAGAGGAGGTATCTGCCCAATCCAGGAGTTCCCTGGGGCTTCCCAGAGGAAGCAACCTCGAGCAGGTCCTCAAGGATGAGAGGAATCACCCAGGTGGATACCACGAGGAAAGGCATTCCCGGAGGCCACCCTACGCCCAAACTCAGAGGAAAACGAGTGTGAATGGCAGGATCCGCAGGCAGCCCTGAGGATAGACCCCGGTGGTAAGGTGCAGGGGAAAAGTCAGCAGGAGCATATGAGGAGGGATTCCCATGCCAGGAGCTCATCTGCAGGGCAGTGGGGAGTCATAGAAGGAGTGCGAGCTGGGGAATGCCAAGATCCAGTGTGATTTTATATTCACATCACCTTGAAGGGTCATCCTGTCACATAGATGGGAATAAGTGCACTGGGGCTTTAGCTGAGAATAGTGCTCTCTGGAGGGGAGAGGGCAGGCCCTGGGGGTCAAGGCATCTTTCAGAAGTGGGGAACATTTCCCAGGGCAAAAAGAGGGGGTAGGATGCTGGATCATCTTGTCAGCTTTCCTTACAGGGGATGTGGGAAGGAAGAAGGGGCTGGGATTTATGGAGCACCCTCTGTGGGCCACACTGACCAAAGACCTGGACATAAAGTCAAGGCCTGACCGCAGTTAGCGCTAAAGGTAGTGGGGCCTTGGTTACCTGGCCACTTGTTGGTGTGATCTCAGGACTCTGGCCACAGCCTGCTTTGTGGCTGGCCGAATAGTCATAGCAGGAAAGAGGCCCTGACCTGTCTTCAGTGCTCCTGGCAAAGGGTGAGGCCAAGTTGGAGTAGGTAGAGTGGACTTTGGCTTCTGATATTCAGGGCAGAGGCCTGGGTGTCCCACAGGCCTGGCCTGAGGTATGACCCTGGGGATGAGTTGCCCCTGAAGGCTATGCCCTCATCTGCAAAGCAGGGTGACACTATGGGCTTCCAGGAAGTTCCAAGGGCAGTGCCAGGCCCAGAAGAAATGTTTATTCCCTTTCTCCTGTTTTGGGTTGGAGCCAAATGGAGTTAGTTTCTCTAGTTTCTAAGTTAGTTGCTTTCTCCACTGAGACCTGTTTTGGTGCCCTATGGGGCAATGAGGTTCCAGGCTCCAGAGTCTAGAGACACCCTGCCTCATCCCATTCTCCGTACCTCATGTCTCCCAGGACTGCAGGACCCCGTGGGGTCCCAGGTAACTTTCCCAGTGTTTAAGTTGAGTGCTCTGCTGTCCCTGGGGCTCTTCCTGGTTCACAGTCACTCTCGTTTGGTATTCAAGCCAAAATAAATTAAATTTTGTGCCCAAGCCAGACAGTTTTTGCATGATAGAACTAGGACTTAACCTGTGCCTCCCATAGTTCTAGCCCCAAGCGTAGTCCACAACACTCGGTTGTCTTATCAATCTCATTATGTATTTGAGAACACTGAGACTAGAGTGGTGAAGTGACTTATCCAAGGTTCTACACTTGTTAGCATCAGAACTTAGAACCCAGTGGCTGCCCCTCCCTCCTGCAGAAGGGAGGAGCTGTTCACCTCTCCTGGAGAATAAAGTTGCCTGCAAGGAATGCTGCTACAGGGTTTATGACTCCCAGAGGCCAGGGACTGGAGGCAGAATGAGAGGAGGCTCAGAGGCCGGCTTCTGGGAAAAAGGTATTTCCCCAGGATTTGCCTGGTGTGGGCTCTTGGAGGACACCTCACTGGTCACTGTTGAAAATCTTCCAATAGTTCAGCTTCCTTATGGTTTTCACTAAGCAAGCAATATCACCACCTGGTGGCTGTGTGCTTGAATTGCAGGGGTAGAGCCCAGAAGTGAACGCCTTCCGAACTTCCAAGAATCTTTTGGAAAATTTGATTTTCAAAAAAGGATCTAGCTGAGTGACATCTGTGTGACAAATCCCAAATTCCCTCAACAGATCCCACTTGAGAGTGCTGTTTGCAGGAGGGCTTGTAGAGTTACAGATGAGGTCAGTGGAACTGGAATGGAGTTAATGGAGTAAACAGATCTAGTTGGAGACCTTGATGTGCTGGGGCTTTCGTCTTCTACCCCTGTGATGAAGCAGTGGTGGAGGCTGTTTGCTCTGCCGTGCAACTCTGGCCTGCCTGTAAATGGGCTGTCTCTTTAAAAATTCTTCTGGTTGTTGCAGAAGCAGCAGCTGCAGCGGTTACCGGGGCAACCTGGCAAGCCACAGTGCGTTAAATTAAATTAAACAGGCCTCTGGCTGCCCCTCCCTCCTGCAGAAGGGAGGAGCTGTTCACCTCTCCTGGAGAATAAAGTTGCCTGCAAGGAATGCTGCTACAGGGTTTATGACTCCCAGAGGCCAGGGGTTGGAGGCTGAATGAGAGGAGGCTCACAGGCTGGCTTCTGGGAAAGAGGTATTTCCCCAGGATTTGCCTGATGTGGGCTCTTGGAGGACACCTCGTGATCTCCTTAGTCCCTGAGCTAGGGATTCTGTGTGAGGCCAGCATGGAAGTCCAGGCTTCAGCTGGAGGGGTCTCCGAGAAGGCGGCTGTCCTGTGGCAAATTTGTGGGAGGGAACTGGTGAGGCCCATGCTGCCCCTGGAGTGAAATCTGCAACCCTGATACTGACTGAAGGTGAGAGTGAAGGGCAGACCCCAGTGAGGGGTTCTCAGGTCATTTCCCAGGTCCTCTGAGGTCCTTGTCATTATTTTCTTTATTTCAGAGATGGGAAAACCAAGATCAAAAGAAGCAGAGATCTGACTTCTTGTCCTGATATTTTAGGCTAGTTCTCTCTGACTTCAAGTTCATGTTCTTCCCATAACATCTAGCTTGCAGAGAGCTAGTGTTTGTACAGTGTATACTATTTACAAAGTGCTTTTGCATGATTCCATGTGATTCTCAGAATGTCCTGTGTGGAATGTTTAGTACAGGTGGGAAAACTGAGGCAAGATGGTAAAAAGCCCCATGGCCCCGGTAACCATGGACTGAAAGCTGGGGAAGATCCCCTTTCTGCTATACAAATACGAGGAAATTTTATGGAGCACATATTATCCACTATGTATATACACTAGACACACCATTATGTATATTAACCGATTTGACTCTCTCAAGTGTTACCTATGAGGCAGGGACTATCATTATCCTAATTTTACAGATGAAGCAGCTGAGGCACACAGTAGTCAGGTCATGTGCCCAGAGTGAGAGTGACACAGCTGGAAGCTAGGAGAACTTGAACCCAGCAACTTTAACTC